CCCCATCAGAATATCTTTTATATATACCTTTCACTAACTCAGTATTCATTTCCTTAGGATGGCTTCTTTGGGAATAGAAAAAGTAGCTTAAGGATATAAAGTTTTAGGTATGATACAATATAATGCATACAATACAATAAAATACACAGATTGTTCAGATTAATGAGTTTTGAGAGTTGTAGACAGCGATGGAAGCACCACCCAAAACAAGATATAGAACATTCCCACATATCCCCCAATTTATCCCGTGTCCCTTTCTGGTCCACCACCTATTCTCCATCCTCACAGTGGCAACTACCTCCTGACTAGGATATCAATGTTTTTGTTTTTTATTTTTTTTTTTTTTTAAGATTTTATTTATTCATTCGAGACACAGAGATACAGAGAGAGAGAGAGCACGAGCAGGGGGAGAGGCAGAGGGAGAAGCAGGCTCCCCGCTGAGCCAGGAGCCAGACGTGGGGCTCCAACCCAGGACCCCAGGATCATGACCCGAGCTGAAGGCAGACGCTTAACCGTCTGAGCCAGGTGCCCCGGATATCAATGTTTTTAAGGCTTTCCATGGACAGACAGTTCAGTCCTCATGTATCAGAGAACCTGTATCCCTTGAGGAAGGGAGAGGCCCATTTTTAAAGGGATTAAGGCTTTGTGAGACCCACAAAGTTAAGGCACAATCATCAGTAACCCCAAGCTACCCAGACCATACTTAGGGTCTCTATGCACCCAGAATCTATCCATTATCCACTAGCTGCCTCTGGTCTGCCTGCACCTGCACTTGTGAACGTGGGTCCTGTGACAAGTGGGCTGGAGTGTGCATGGGAAGGTGGGTACCTGGTTGGGTCGGGGGGATACTCCTGTGTGAGCAGAAGGTGGGCATGGATGAGGAAGACTGGGCTGGGAGGGAACTTCCTTGGGTGGTCTGTGGGCCATCCCAGGCTTACCTGCTTTTCTCTCTACCAGGCTGTTCTTTGCTGGAGCCAGGGAAGGCCACCTTCCCAGCGTGTTGGCCATGATCCACGTGAAGCGCTGCACCCCAATCCCAGCCTTGCTCTTCACAGTAAGGGCCCCTCCTTCTGCCAGCCCTACACACACCCTCCCTCTTTGCATTTGCTCTGAGCTGGGAGTTCGCACTTCCCACACACACCCCTGTCACCCTCCTGGTCTGCTCCTAGGGTTCACTGGATCTTCGATAATCTGGCAAATGGTATATGGGCTTTGTAAATATCAAGAGAAATAACAAGGAAAGACCCTGAGTCCTGAAACACCTTCAGGCTCTCACCCTGCCTCATTTCTATTCTCCCATACTTTTGGGTCAGATTGAAGTGACTTTCTCATGACTCTACAGTCTCATACGGAAAGAAACCTCCTTTCTTGGCTCTCCCCTGCACCTGTTGCCCTAAGGGTTGCGGCTTTGGGCCCCCACTCCTGGCCAATCTCACACACCCTCAGCACTCTCCATCAATCTTCTTGCCCCAGGAGACTCTGCCTGTGTCTCAGGAAATACCACTGAAACAAATTCAGTGTTACAGGTACACCAAATAAGACAAACCATAAAGAAAGGAAGACTGGCAACTGAAAATGGAGAAAAGGAAAATTGGGATAGGGAAGAACTGAGGGTAGAATGGCCCAGAGTAGAATCATTTAGAGGGGTAAAAAGAAAGAGCAAAGACTTGTCCCCACTGAGTCTTTTGAGTTATTTTTTTTTTCTTTCTGGATCCTGAATAAAATATTGAAAATGACTTTGGTCCGTCAGAGAAGCAGTTAGATCAGGATAATAGAGCTCTCAGGAGTCAAGTGCCTTCACTGTACAACATGAGGGGGAGTTTCAGAATGTTCAGATACAGGATGAAGCCCATCATGATTGGTTAGCTGTGAAAGGTGCCTGGAGACCACCTAGTGCTCCCAGTGAGACACAGACTTATTTCCGGTTTGAGCCATTGGTGCAGTACTGTGACTGCCAGACAAGAACGGTCAGAATCTGGCTTTTTCATCCATTAAAATCTTCTATATTATTTTCACCGTCAGATCTTACACGAGAACTGAACCTTCTTCTTTTTTTTATTTAAGATTTTATTTATTTATTTGACAGAGGGAGAGCGTAAGCAGGGTGAGTAGCAGGGGGAGAGGGAGAAGTAGCCTCCCTGCTGTGCAGAGAGCCTGATGTGGAGCCCGATGTGGGACCTGATCCCAGGACCCTGGGATCAGGACCCAAGCCGAAGGCAGATGCTCAACCAGCTGAGCCACCCAGGCGTTCTAAGAACTGAACCTTCTGTTGGCCTTAACAAATTAGCAGAGGGGCAGAACATGGTTCCGAGAGAGCCACTGAGCTGATTTTGAAGTTGTAAAGTGGATTCTGTCAAGAAAACCTCATGGGGATGTTATGAGGGTTAAATGAGTTAATATTTGTAGAACACTAAGAACAGGACTTTCCACCTAGTAAATGCTTTGTAACTGTTTATGATATTAAAAAAAGGGGGAGGTGGGGGGAAGAAGAAAAATAAATTAGATGACTCAGCCAGGAGAAGAGGATGAGGGCAAGAATAAAGCTTTAATCTGCAGTTAACAATCTTCCCGAAGGGATTAAAAAAAAAAAGGAAAACCTAAATTAGCTTGAGCTACAACCAGGGAAGAAATATAAATGGGACCAGGGCAGGTATAGAGCTAGCACTGCCGGTGTGGCCCATCCAGTTGTTTACAGCCAGTATCTGTTCTGATTGGTTAGTGCCCCTGCCCTAGCAGTGGTTAAATATTTTGATTATCACTCCTGCAAAAAGAAAGAACTTCCTGGCAATGAAGCTGTTAGCAATGGCCAGGATGACTAGGGGAGGCTGTAAAGTCTCCATTCTAAGACATTCATCATAAAATGGCGCCATCCGCCTAGAGGCAGGGGAAGAGTGCCCTGACCTGTAAACAGCTCCTCTGGTGTCCAAATACCTTACTGATCACTGATGAGCTTCTCCCATTTCCCACAGTGCATCTCAACCCTGCTGATGCTGGTCACCAGCGACATGTACACACTCATCAACTACGTGGGCTTCATCAACTACCTCTTCTATGGAGTCACAATTGCTGGACAGATAGTTCTTCGCTGGAAGAAGCCTGATATCCCCCGCCCTATCAAGGTGCGAGAACCTCCCCTTGAGATCCCTTCCCCCTCCTCTTCTAATCTAGCAGCAGCTCAGGTTTTTAAATCACCTTGTTCTCAGCTGCTGACCACATACATGATCTACCATCTCTATGATGGCAGCAGACCCTTTGGAAAGCAAGGGCCATGTATGAATGGGGCAGCTATTTCCATTTTCCACTGGAGACAGGACCCGAACAAATGGCAGCTGTAAGAGTAAGTTATATTAAATGATACTTTCATCAGATCATTCCTTTGTTTCCTACAACTCTTATGAACTCTGGTTGATTTTTCAAGGCTCCCTTACCTCTCCAACATTTCCCTGAACCCACTGGTATGGCCAGTCTCCTTCTCATCCCTCCAGGTAGCTGAGTTCACTTGAGCTATGTCTCCATCCCAAAATGAGTTTCCTTCTCCCATCTGCCTATCCAAATTATAACCATTCCCCACATAGGCCTCAAGTTCCTCCTCTTCCTTGAAGCTTCCCAGTCTACTACAATCCTCCATGAGCCTCCCTTTTTAAACTACTAGAGCCCTATATGTAGTAGGGTGCCTAGTGAACCTACTGATTGCTGCAAGAGATAACTGTGTGGTGGGAATGAAAGGGACTGCTCAGAACAAAGTATGCAAGAGAGCTATGGGTTCTCCTGCAAATTAGAATAGAGTATAGCCCTGAGCTATATGAACAGTCCTATTCTGGAAACAGAGGAGACTAGATCCTTCCAGAAGATTCTTCCAGCTGAGGAATTTCAGCTCTCCAAATCTGTTTTCCACCACCACTTTCCTACCACTCTTAGAAAGCTTGCTAGAGGGATGACAAGGTAGAATAACCCATTCCTCCCCCAACCCTTGCATACCCTCTGAGAAGAGATGACAAGGAAGAGAAAGGCAGCTGAGTCTGGGAACTCCCACCTGTGGCCAATAAGATGGCCAACAAGCCCATAGAGCTGATGTTTCTTTCTGAATAAAATCAACGTCCCAGACTGCCTTATAGTATAGTAGGTTTCCTGACTTCTCGGATCTTGGCAGACTTATCTTCTCATATTGCTTGAGAAAAACACATTGGGAGTGATCCTGGCAAGAAGGATGGACATTTGCAACATGGTGCCCAGATGAGGGCCCTACCTAGAACCAGGAAAGAGTCAAAGAGTCTGACAGACCCCTTCCATTTCCTTCTTGCCCCTCATTCATTTCTCCACCTCTCCTCCACTCTAGGACCTCAGCAAATATATACCAATATACCAGCAAGCTTATCAGTCCCACGGGCTTCCCTGGCTGAGGCATGGATGACAAGGCCTTGTTTGCCTCTGCCCAGGAGAAAAGAGATGGGCAATGAGGATCATTCCTCAGAACTCAGAGTTCGCCCCTCCTCTTCCCATCCCACTACCCAAGTTCACCAACGTTTGTTGACATAGCACTTGATCTATGAGGGCTTGGGGTGTGGGAGCCACAGAGCCGAGTGAAGCCTAGCCTTTGCCCTCGAAGGTGCCTCTCTGTGGGTTGAGAATAGGGAGGATGCCCTGATCTGGGGGCCACGGGGGCCACACAGCTAACAGCACCTCTGCTCCACAGATCAACCTGCTGTTCCCCATCATCTACTTGCTGTTCTGGGCCTTCCTGCTGATCTTTAGCCTGTGGTCAGAGCCCGTGGTGTGTGGCATTGGCCTGGCCATCATGCTGACAGGAGTGCCCGTCTATTTCCTGGGTGTTTACTGGCAACACAAGCCCAAGTGTTTCAATAACTTCATTGGTGAGTTGTTAAAAATGCTGGATGGCTAGAGGATCTACTCATCTGGGTTAGGTAGTCTCCGGGTCAGGAGGCCTAGGCTGGTCCACAGAGCTCTGGAGAAGAAGACGGGGCAAGAAAGGGTGGGTGCCTTCCCAGAGACCTCTGAGGAGAGGAGAACAGCTGAGGTTTGCACACAGACCCTAGACCTGGAAAAATAGGCAACCTGACAGCCATTCTGCAGGAGCTGCCTTGGGTAGAGGCCAAGGGAGAGCCTGGAACTGGTGGTCACCAGGCTTAGGTCACCAGAAGGTGGGGGACTAGGGCTTTGATGGGAATGGGCAGCCAACAGATAGGCTCCCCAGAGCCCCAGGAAGAGGCAAGGTGACTGTCTCCTGGAACGGGAGTCTCCTGAAGGCACTGGGGCTCTGCTGAGGTAACACGTGGGGCAGGGGAGCGGAGCAGGGCCACGGGCGGCTTGGCCCGATGGGTGGGATGCTCATCACTGACCTGTTCTGTGTGACCTCCCATAGAGTCGCTAACCCTGGTGAGCCAGAAGATGTGTGTGGTTGTGTACCCCGAGATGGAAGCAGGCTTGGGGAAAGAGGAGATAAATGGGGACACAGAGGAGCAGCGGCGGCCCATCTACCAACCCACTGCCTCCAAGGACAAGGACTCGGAGCAGCCCCAGCCCTGAGGACCACCATCCCCTCTCAGCTGGCTCCTTCCTCCTATACCCTCTTTTTGCCCTCCTTCCCTGCCTGGGTCTCCCCAACACACACACACACACACACACACACACACACACACACACACACACCCTCTGCTTCTGTCAAGCAGGGACAGGACCTGGGTATGGGTGGTAAGAAACTATAAACAAAGACACTGACATTTGTACCCAAAGAACCAGCCTCTCACCACTAGGGCCGGTGTCCTCACCAGGGCTGCTCCAAGCAGTGGGAGGAGAGTGGAGCTGCTGGGGGTACTCTACAGGGCCCTCCCCCCCCCACTTCCCTCCTCAGGAGCCCAGTTCAGTACTGCCTTCCCTCCCCATTCCTGAGCCCAAGGGAGGCCTCTGCTCAGAGAAGCGGAAGCAACAGTGAGTCAGTTGGGGAGGGACAGACTCAAGCAAATCTGTCATCTTTAAAGTCAGCTGGAGAGACCCTTATCACTCTCCGTTCACTAGGGACCCAAGAAATCAGAGAGATGCTTCCCTCTGCCCTCTCCTCTCCCCCTCCCCATGGTACCTCCCCCCACCTCAGCTTGGGCTCCCTGTCCAGAGCAAGGTTCCTGGCAGGACACCACCTCCCTACTGAGCTAAGGACCAATGAGCAGGAGAACTGCCCCCTCCCCCTAACCCAAGCCAGGCCTGTGGAACAGATTGGGAAAGGCTCAAATTGCAGAAACCCAGCCCTGCCCTGGTCTCCTGCATCCTGACCCCCACTCAGTGCCAAAGCTTCCTGAAGCCAGAAAGTCTTCTTATTTTCCATGTAGTGGACATTTCTCCCCTCGGGCAAAGCTGCTTAGCTCCTCCTCCTTCCCCACTCCAACCAGAAGGAGCAGTCACTCCATGATCCCTGCAGCTATGCCCCCAACGTACCCCCATGGAGCCAGCACTGCTGGCGCCCCCATCATGCCCTTTTCCTCTTCTCTGGCTTGGCTCCGGGACCAACCGGTGTGAAGGCTCCCCAAGCCCTTCAGGCCCGAAACCCAAGCCAAATCAGCCTTAAGTCACCTCCCATCCAAGAACTGGACCTAAAAATACTCCCTGATTTCTAACCCTCAGGACAGACCTGGTATGAAAAGCCTTCCTGGAATGGAGGGTGTTTTCCCACCCACCCCCCAGAAGTGTCCATCCCGTAACCTTGGAGACTGGGGCGGGAGTGTCTTCTGAAGGCCATTTCCTTCCTCCTCCCCCAACTCAGACACCCCCCTTTCTGGTCCCACCACCGCCCTGTCTTTGGACAGCCTCTGGGACAGGATGAAAAAGCAGTGGCAGAAGGTACCCATTTTGGGGAGCCATTCTCTGTGGCATGTGGACTTCTGGCCATCCTGTGGGAGAGGCTTCCTTTCCCTTCGCTCCAAGGGAAGGCCACCGTGTTTACCCTGGGCCTTGCAGCCTCCCTGCCACACTTGCTGTGCTAAAGACTAGGATCCTTTCATCCCAAAGCAGGAGTGCCCCCTTTCCTACCTCCCCCTACCGTCTGTTTAGACTAGAATCTGTGGGGAGTCCTCCTGGCTTGCTTGGCTCTCCCAGCTTCCCGGCTGGCCTGCCTGACCCCAACCCCACCCCCCACCCCCCTTGGTGAGATGCCAGGTTTGGTTTGAGTTCCAGTCCCTTCAGAGTAGACCCCAGGTGGGCTGGGGCTGGCCCCTGGAGGGTCAGGGGACCATCCTCCTCTTCCCTCTTCTCATTCCTCCAACCTCCATCCCTCCTTCAGTTGTTGGGGTTTATTTGTTTGTTCATTTGTTTCATAAAGTGAATGCCTTACTTTTTGGATAAATATTTTTGAAGCTGGCGTTTCTATTTCTTTTGGATTTTTTAATGTAAGGTGGTTTGGGGTGGGGAGGGCATTAGTTATACCTGGATGATAATCTTCTGTCTTTGAGTTGGTTTAGGGTTAGAGTTTATTTTGTGGAGGGTTTTTTTTTTTTCTTTTGATGTAATAAAATTTTAAATGGAAATGAAGTTGGTGGTGGTAATAATTCAATGATCTTCTGAGACAGAGTCCCCAGGCATTTCCTGTCTTCGTCAGGAGGTCTTCGGTTGCCAGGTTCCTTCCAGGATGGCATTCCCAAAGGCCCTTGCTCTGTCCCAGGGACCCAGTGCCAGCACACTCAAACAACTCTCTCGAGTTGTGGGTGGGTGGGGGAGGGGGAGGGTTGGTTTTTAACTACCTCTCATTTTGAACCAAAAACTTTCTCATTTCTTCAGTGAAGTCGCCAAGTGTTCATTGAGTTCCTGCTCTGTGCCCTGCACCGAGAGCCTGCAGACTAGCTAGGAAGAACCTCATCACTGCCAGGTGGGAATGCAGATGACAGACAGGACTTAGCTGAGAGGAGGGAGGCAAAGGCAGAGTGGTTCTCCAAGGTCTGGTCAGCCAAGGCTTCTGGCACTGGGACAGCTGGTACCAAATGGGAAAGGAAGCGATTGGCTGAGCCTGTGGAGAGATGCCAGGGGGACTTAGGAAAGCAGCCAGCCAGATCCAAGGGGTTTGACAGGAGGGACTAGGACATGAGGCAGGGTCCCCTCAGCTGCATGGAGCTGAATGAGAGGACCTTGTCTAGTCGGAGGACTAGGAAGGCTGTTGAGTGAGGACAAAGGAGGAAGCAGGTACGGTAGGGACACGTCCGCTGGTGATTTGGGTTAATTGCGGGAGGAAGTTGATGGGATTAGACCCAGTCCTTGCTTGGAGTGCCTCCTCTGTGGGCAGCCCTCCCAGCTGCCTGTCCTGGGGCGGCATTACTCCAGAGCCAGCACTTCTGACAGACATGGGCGGGGAGCGGGGGGGAGGGGTGCGGGGGTTGTTAAGACATCATCCTCCACCATCTGGGACACGTGAGGACACAGGCGGGCAAGATGCCTCCACTCCCAGTCCCGGCCTGGCCCCAACACTCCTCATCTGTGGCTGGCATTTTTCTAGACTGAGGCTGGAGGTGCACCAGTCATGGGGGCACAGATACTTGGCTCTAAGTTCTAGGTCGGCAGCCACTAAAGAGCTGTGTGTCCTTGGGCAAGTCACTTAACCTATTTAGCACTTTTTGAGAAAAGAAAAAAAAAAAGAGGGTTGAACCTAATCTCAAAGGGTTCCTCAATCTCTCAGCCCAAGATTGTCCCCAGAGAGTGAAGGCAAAACTGGGCAGAGGCCAGTCTTATGCAAGAGGCTGTTCTCCGGGACGCCTGGGTGGCTCAGTTGGTTAAGCGGCTGCCTTCGGCTCAGGTCATGATCCCAGGGTCCTGGAATTGAGTCCCACATCGGGCTCCTTGCTCAGCGGGGAGCCTGCTTCTCCCTCTCCAACTCCCCCTGCTTGTGTTCTGTCTCTCTCTCTGACAAATAAATAAATAAAATCTTTAAAAAAAAAGAGGCTGTTCTCCAGGTCTCAAATCCACCCTTTTGCACCCCTTCTTCCCCAACATACACACTTTTCCTTTCCATGGGCTGCCAGCATATTCTCCATGTTGCCCCATTCCAGCAAGTCCAGCCCTCCCAAAACCCCTCTCGCTCTACGGAGACACTCATTCCCATCCATCACCAGCAGCCCCCCTCCTCCCGTAAGTGACACGTGCGGATCTTTTTAACCTGGTCAATGGGCAAATGTGGGTCTCCTCCAGAGCAACAAGCATTTATGTTTAACCTGGGCCTTTACCCTCTCTTAACCCTGTCAGTCACTTTAATGGTAAGAATTCATATGCTCTGACCTTAGGGAATTTGGGGGGGTCACCGAAATCATAGCTGCATAAGCATTCATTTGTTAGTCACACAACACACCTAATAACCATTGTGTCCAAGGAGTTTGCTATGTGCTGTGAGAATAGCAAACTTATTCCTGAATTTTACAAGTCAGCACAGATTTCAAATACTTCGTTCCATTGTTTCCATAAAAATATTCGTACTCGACAATCCACCTTTCCTTAATTTTAATTCAGGCAATATGGTCACCACAGCTGAAGAGGTCCAAAAAATGGATCTGACCCTACCCTCAAGAAGGAAATAGTCTACAGGGAAAGAAGGCAAGAATGCTCCTGGCACCTACGTGCTGCTGACTGCCCACAGCCTGGAGCCGTGGCAGGCCGGAGCTGAATGTGCCAGAACCCCAGAGCCTGAGCAGTGCCTGCTACTTCTGTGCCCAAAAATGCCTGTCAAACTGAGGCATCAGAGGAGGCTGCAGACAGTGTGTCTGCTTAGGACACCCAGATAAACCACGGGAGGTGGTCGGAGGAAGGGCAGAAGACTGAACATTGACTGAGACCAGTTGCTCTCTATACATTCTCTTATTCAGAGTTTCATTAAACAATCCGACAAAGTAGATGTTACTACTGCCATTTTACAAGTAAGGTTAAATAACTTGCCCGAGGGCACCAAACTGGGACGTGAGAGGGGCAGGCTTTAAGCCCAGGTCTCTCGGACACTTCACCGCAGCCATGCTTGGCTGACTCCCTGTTGGAAGGACTTGGTGAAGGAGGTGACCTTTGAACTGAAGCCTGTTACAAAGTCACTTAAGATAATATACCCGCATTGTTTCGGTTAATGCAAACAGGTAGCAGCTGAAGCAGCAAGGAGGAAAAAAGAGCCTGCTGACGGTGGGGAGGGCTTCTTTCCACTCCTGAGCAACTCCACAGAACCCAAGAATTCCCCAGCTCTTGTCTGGCACTGCCCTCCCCACCCCTGCTCCTGTCCAGTCCCCCCTCCTCCCCTGCGCAGACATCCAGAATGCCGCCTGCCCGCACCAAACCCCTCGGTTACTGGGAAACGTGATGTCAGTACTCCAGCAACGTCAGCCACCAGCTTGGGAGGTGAGGGATCCGACGGAGATTACTTATCTCCCCGTGGCCCCAGCCTTTCTCATTTCCTGCCGGCTCTATTTGCACACTTCCCGGCTTCCTCCAGCACCCCGTTCACTCGCTACTGACGCTGTCTTCCCCTCCCCCCGGCGGTGGACTGAGGGCAAACAGGGCTCTCTGAGTCACACAGCTCCCCCTTTCTCTATCCCTTCTTGCCTGGGGGTTTCAAGAACTAGCCCACTGCCCTTTCTCTCGAGATCAATGCTGCATCCTTGTCTGACCTTGGGCGGTTCGGCCTTTCAGCCTTGTTCCCCTCCTTTATAAGGCGGAGATAAAATGCCCTTGGTCGTGCTTCCCTTCCTACTTAACTCACAGGGAAATGGTCAACATGGCAATGTGAATGTTTCAATGAACAAAAAAAGCACAACCCCAGAAAATGCCAGGCCTTAGCCATCATCACTACTTCAAAGTCGGAGAGGGCTAGAATTTCTCCTCATTGAGACAGGGCCCCCGCCCCAGTCCTCTCGGCCTGCCCACTCTCCCAATAACCGCACTGCAAGCCCCACCCCACCATGATTCCCCTTCCTCCTTTGGGAGGCCCAGCAGGGTCCTGCCCTTGCCAGGGCTGTGGCAGGCTGCCCCCTGCCGACCACCGGATGCCTGACCACGGCGGCCCCTCTACTCCCGAATTCTGGACCAATATTGCCACCTGGTGGTCAACAGAGGCACTCCTACCAAACTGAAGTAATTCAGCTCTGGTACCTGTTCAACACAAGGTCCTTTGAAAGGGAGAGGAGATGGAAACCTCCCCGTCTGGTCCCTGAGATCTGTCTCCAGGATGCACACAGATCTCCCCATGCCAGGTCAGGGCTCTCAGAGAAAGTACCTCAAACTGTGCCCAGAAAACTCCTGGGGTTGGTGGGGTGGTGGGGAGCGAGGGAGGGAGGAAGATGCTAACTGGACGGGTAACTAGCCTGACGTGGAGGCAGCCCTGTCTGCACCTGCACACTTCATTTTAGCGTTCAATGCCACCTATAACCCCTCCACATCTGTCCCCACTATGGCCCGGTCCTTGGTGTACCCTACTTATTAAACCTTCTGGCCTCCATGGGGTGTTCACAGCATTGACCGGTGATAAAGAGCCGGTGACACATTTCTGTGTCCTCTCCTTTTCTGGACCTATAGTCCCTTTTATAGGTGAAATTCAAGGTAAAAACAGAGCCACAGCCCTGCCTCTAACAGGAGAGAGTGGGGAGTTCCCAGAGGAAAAAGAAAATGGAAGGGAGAGGGGGCCCAGCATGAGACCTGAAGTGCCGAGCACCGGCTTCTCCTGGAGACCCTGAAACAGTCCCAGGAAGAGGTGATGACAAAAGAGAAGGCTTCTCAAGCCTCACAAGAGGAAGTGGACCCAAGAGACACGCATCGAGGTCAGAGAACGGCCATGCAGAAGGAAAGACAGCAAACCGAGCTGCAGGGAGTGCCTGAGCCCTGCGGCCCCAAGGCACAGGAAACAGAGCAGAGCCCCAGGACCAGAGCAGAGGGGCAGAGTGCCAACCTGAGGTTCTGGCAGTGCAGAGCAGCTGGAAGAGAGAGCCCTGGAGCCACCAGGGGAGTGCGGCTGTCGGCCCCTGGGGCAGCGGCCTGCCTGGGCCTGGGGCACGGGGGCCCAAGTCCTGAGCAGGTGCCTCAGCCGAGCCTTGGCAGTCAGCGACAGTGCCAGGCTGCTAGGGCCACCCCGGGCTAGAAGCCCCCACAAGAATGTTCGGGCTATTGCACAAAAACCTAGCAAATGAGCATGTTCTGCACCACAGGACCCCGTGTAGGGCTTGGTCCCAGAACCTATCACTATAACCCTCTCAAACAACGCCCCCTGTCCTGCACCCAAAAGAATGCCCTGGGGGTGGGGCTACAGAAGGAACCGACTGCCCCTGGGGGTAGGTGGAGCCCAGCCTTGCGGGGGACAGAGAGGGAGGCGTGTCAAGGGAGGAGCTCAGATCAGGCTGGGGGTCGGCACTAGAAGAGGGTTTTCTCTGTTCATTCCGACTTGGCACCTCATTCTGCACAGAACTTTTTGGAAGTCGGAGGGAGGAGGACACTCAGAGTGAGGTGTTTCCCTCAGCGAGGACTCTGGAATCCCCTGGACTCAAGAGGGAGGGGGGCATTCCCAGAAGCATCAGCTCCC